CTCTGTTTTCCTGCTGTCTCTCTGCCTCCCTCGTTAGCCTCATGTCTGTTACCTGCGTTGCTCCCGCCCTGCTCGTTATCCCTGGTATATATGTGTGGTTTTTCTGTTCAGCCCTTGTCCAGTCATTGTTCATGATGACCCCCCCCCCCCCCCGTCTGTCGTCTGTGTACCCTCTGCCTTCCTGTAACCAGTCTTGCTTGTCTTGTCACCCTGTACCTCTGGATTTTGGATTTCTGTTAGGAACTACCTTTGTTTTGGATTCTGTATCAGCCACTCAATCAGCAAGTGTGCTCACCTTTTGTTTGTTTAATTAAACCACTGAACTATACCTGCTCCGCTCTGTGTCCTGCGTTTGGGTCCTCCAACCTGCCTCCACACCACCCACCGTAACACCAAATGCATGTTTCAGGCCTAATGCTTTCTCTACAGCCTGCAGGTATTTGTTTTTGAAATGTGTGACCTTACTCTTGTACTGAATAATGAGAATTTTCACCATCGTTCTTGCATCGTCTGATTTGCAGGTACTGCTTCTGGCCAGCCAGTGTATGCATCCACTGCTACCAACAGATACCTGTACCCATTCACCCTTTCCAACATGTCTGTGTAGTCAATTTCTTTCCCTGGTGTTTTTGGTAAGGGAAATTTACCCTCATGCGGTTTTATTGTTGGTCGAACATTGTAACCAATACATATGTGAAACACTGATATAGTTCTCAATCATAGCTGGTAGAAATGGGTGCCACCAGTTGATTAAATGTCTTTGCATTGGTGTTTTTCCACAATGCATCAAACTGTGTGCCTCCTGTAGCATAGAAGCTATCAGTCCTGGCGGTAACACTGGTCTCCCATCCGGAGACCTCCACATCCCATTCTCACCAATCACTGCGCCTCTTTCCTTCCACACAGTCCGTTCCTGTGGAGACGCTTTCTGCTGTTCAATTATTAACATATTTCACACGAAGGTGGCAAGTCATACAGTTTTCTCTGCTTGCATCATCATGTAGCTGGTAGTATACCCTGCTGTTCTTTTAGCTGCCTCATCTGCTGCCTGATTTCCCTTGGCTATGGTGCTATCTGCCCTATCATGACCTTTACACTTCATGACGGCTAGCGCTGTTGGCTTCATTAGCACTTCTGCAAGTCTCTTAATGTCCTTCTCATGTTTGATGGTTGGTTTAGCTGCTAAGAACCCTGATCTGATCCACTGACTCAACTCCACCTGAATTGCTCCTACCACATATACTGAGTCTATGTATTTGTTCACTCTCTTCCCTTCTGACCATTCTAAAGCTGCTATCATAGCTTGTAATTTGGCTTCTCTTTCTGTCTGTCTCACCACTGCATATGCTGCTTTCAGTCCCTCCCATAGGATGCCTGTAGCAACACCCATCTGTGAACAGTGTTTCCTCTGGTTCTTTCAGGGGAGCTGCTTGCAAATCTTTAACCTTCACATCTTTCTGCACTCTTACCTCACATCTGTGTGGTTCTCCCACTCGCATGTTGTCTGCCATGCTGATGCCTTCATGTGTAAATGTTGGGTGCTGTCAAAATCTTCTCCAACCATGTCTTGTGCACGGAGGATGTCTGTCTTCAGGTGGATCTAGAGTTATGCTGGCATACATCAGCACCTGTCTACCTCACACTTTTTTCTGAAAAAGCACCCCATTTAGTGTGTGTGGTTTTTTTGGGTTTTTTTTTCAGAAACATCCGGGAAAAAATGGTAACTGGTAGTACGGTATTGCCAGGGCAGCAGTACTGGTTAGGGCCTGTTTCAAAGCAATAAAACTTCGGCTTCGGCTTCAGTGGTCCAATTCAATCGGGCAGAGATTTCTCATGCCTTGCTCATTAACCAGGGCCCTGAGAGGGTGAGTTAATTCGCCATATGATGCCACGAACTGCCTGCTGTACCCTGTCAAGCCTAGGAAAGACGACATGTTTTTCACAATGAGGGGTTTGGGATGGTGCAAAATAGATGACAGGTGTCAGGGTGACATCCCTGTACCTTGTCTGGAAATGAAACTTGCTGTCTACAACACTGCAACTTGGATCTGGAGACTTTAAAACCACAAGCAAAGAGCCTAGAGAGCACGGAATGAGTCGCAGTCGGGCAGGAATCAGAGTCTGAAGCAGCCAATAATGTATCATCTAGCTCAAGATCTGATGGCTGCTGTTTCAAAATCTGGTTGAATAGACCAGGAGAAAGTATGAAACCCTGTGGTACTCGAGTGTAATGAAACAGAGTAAGCTGGAAGGTAAAAGAGAAAATATCTCTAAGATGGTCAGCGAGTGGCAGACAGAAGAATGCATTGGCCAAGTCCATACATGTAAACCACTGGTGTTGTGACAGAACAGACATTGCAGTATATGGATTAGGCATAGGTACTGTTGGAGTGGAAACAATCGCATTAATCCTACGTAAATCATGAGCCATGTGATATTTGCCAGTGTTGTGCTTCTATACTGGCAAGATAGGTGTGTTCGACTGTGACTGAGATTCCTCCAACACCCCTGCTGCTAACAGTCCCTCAATAGTGTCTGCTATTCCCTCCTCAGCTTGTTGCTTATATGGATACTGTTTCTGCCAGATGGGCGTGCAATCCGAGAGGTCAAAGGTCACAGTTTGCACATAAATGCAGTGCCCTACATCTGTAGGGCCTGCTGACCATAATGCAGATGGGAGCGAATTTAACATCGCCTCTGCATCTTGATGGTCTGTTCTTTCCCTACCATAGAACCTCTCAATTTGTCTGTGTTCCAAAGTAACCTGATCTGTAGTGGCCTTAACAATTTTGTAAGCCTTTTCAGAAGAGGAATAAAAAAACATGGGTTGGTGGAAACCCAGTCGGATATCTACTCCATGCGCTTACAGATAGGGCCCAAATCCTTAGCCCGATGGTCTGAACTTATAGCTAAAGTGATATGGGGTACAGCTTCACCCTGCAATTTATACCATGTCATCTGTTCCTCAGTGAGTTCAACAACCGCAGCCATGCCTTCTTTTCCAACCAGGGTATAACTAGAATTAATATCCCACTTGAGGTCGATGATTTCATTGAAGAATGCCTGCTGATAAATTTCATCCCTATCATAGAAAAGGGTCACATGGAGAGGGTCCAAAGGAGGGGAGTAGGGGTGTAACTTTAGGATCCAAGGTCTCCAGTCTCGATACAGGTGCTGTATTCCTCCAGCACATGCAGGATCAGTTGTCAGTAGGCCCCAATATGTCGGCCCATATTCCTGTAGCTGTAGGAGACACATCTGCTGACAGCAACATCTGAGAAGTTGATTGCATTATAGAGATCGAGCAGTTCACAGTATAACCATTAGGAAAAGTCACCAGCAGCCCTTGAGGTCCACACAAAATGGATGCACCACATTTGATAAGCACATCTCTTCCCATCAGATTTGCTGGGCATAAGGGAGAAGAAATATGAGTGCATAAAAGTCTGCTTTTGTCTCTTTTTAGTCCCACCCTCAGAACCTGGTAGGTTAGGATACTCATCTCTGATTTGCACTTGATTGGCTAATAACAAATTGACACCTGGGGAATGTTCAATCTATATTTTGCTACAGTTTTCGTATTGAATGGCATATTTCCTCGAAATGGTGTGAAAACAGTGTGCACTGGCCTTAGAAGTAAGTTCATTTCCTTTGGTAGTGTTTCAGAGGTGTTACCTAATCAGCAGCAGGCATAATAAAAAGGCAGTGAAGTGCACTTGCACAACATTGTGTTTAAGGCACCACTGTTTCCACTTTAATACAAATTTTGCTACATTTTGTCGGGGCTGAAGCGCCCCTGGTAGCAAACTTGTAAATCCCATTATGGTAAAGGCATGCACCGGCATGTACTGTGCCTCTGATTGGATTTGTCTGATGACGTTTACCACGTAGCCCCTGCTGAAAGTTTTTGCTGTTCTGCTGTCTTCTGCCAATTAGCTTGAAATTGTTAAGCCGTTTCTTCTAAATGCAGTCCATTTGTTCGCAGTAGCAAATCCATCATTCATTCATGAATAAATGTATTGTATGTTTATTACATCTGGTTCATTTGACTGAACAGAAAGGTCTGATGAATCAATGGTAGTCTACCCACTGATCCTTGTATAGGGAGATCTGATGCTATTGTTATGTTGAGTCATGGCCTTACTACCATTTCAAACACTATTTATTCTGTTCGAGGTGTGGCATTAAATTATAGCAAGAATCACACTGTGATTGGATTGTGAGCTGCCTTTGCATCTCCTCCATTTAGCAAAGTGGCTGGCTCATCTCAGTGGCTTACACTTTCACTGGATCTTGTTATGGTTAACAATCTCAAGCTAATAAAAAAACAATCTTTTTTCTCACCCACCCCAACTCTTCCTATACTGTGAATAAATGGACTGCGTTTGTGCTATGAATACAGTCAGCATGAGACAGTAGGACTGGAGACTGGTTTCTGCCTTAGGACCAAACTCATTATAGCAAGGGTAATTGTTTTCTCATGTAGTGATTGGTGTGACGACTGGTGTTTTGTTATCCTGAGGCCATTACTGCTGTTGCTTTGTCATCACCAAAGGGTGTCATCATTCAAAATCATAGGAAAGGCAGACACCTGCTTGTGTTTTTATAATAGAGCATGAGTATGAAGTTCTGCAGGCCTATAAACCTTCACACAAAATGCCATAATCTTTAAGGTTTTTTGTTATTGCATTTATGTGTAGAGGTTTATGATGTCAGATAGCACTTTTAAATAAAATAAAAATATCAGGAATGATGTATATCTTTTTTTTACTCAATCACTTTGACTTGAAAGTGATGACAACTGTGTAACGGTATGGTGGACAGTGAGTGAAGGGCAACACTGGGCAGCACTGATGTCTGTTTATTGAGCGGCTTGGGTGGGCTCAAATTGTTTTTTACGAAATTAAATTTGAAATTAAAACTGGCACACCAGCATCGAAAACAACAACAAAAAAAACCCTCGGTTTATGAAGCAGATTGATCTCTTGCTGTTCTCAGAAACAACTGCTCGATGCTGGAGAGGACTGCATAAGCTGATGAAAATGAAGCCCATATCGGTGCCAAGAAAATCATATCCTGAACCCTTCTCCGTGGAAATCAAGTTAGTGAAAATGGCAAACTGGGGGTTATGTGTCACAGACTTAGGAAAAACAAACCGTGTGGGTGTATTGCGTACATTATATTAGGGACACTAACTGAAAATTGTTTAGACAACAAGAATGCACATTGTGCAAAAGGAGCTTCAAGTCATTACCAGGTGAATATCAGAACAAACTCATATTGTCACAGCCCCTTCGCTGTGACTCCCTGCTTAGTAATAGCTGGTATGTGTATTACTGTGGGTTTTGTTTCTTTTCCTTTTGGTTGAGTGGGGTGTGCTTTGGTTTTGGCTGTCTCTTCTCACCCTCTCTCTCCAGTCTGAGAAGTTGGCGTGGACCTGGGCTCTTGGCACTCCCCGCACCGATCTGCAATCAGCTCAATTTATCTCAATCCACAACTCACCAGCTCCATAACGACCGACTCCTCACATCTGGTCCCTGCCCAGTCGTTGAGTCACTCTGTCCTGGCTGCCTACCTGTTCACTCGCTCCCAGCCACACCTGATCAGCCTCTGGACCCCGCTCACTCATTCTGCTCTCTGGGGACACACTCTGGGGAGTAGCCTACCTCCAAAAGCCCTGATTCATCCCACACCTTTTGAACGGTGTATAAACAGTTAAACTTACTGTAGGTCTGCATCCACGTTGCATCATATTATTTTTTGTTAAGTGTTTATTTTTGTAATTTACCACAGCTTGTGTAACAGTGCATCACTTACTATCCCAGGTTGTTTGTCTTTACATTATTAAAGTCTACAGCTAAGCATATGATAAGTAAACACACAGTCATAATTTAGTTTCAGTTACATTTAATTAGTTTACATATTTGAACATGGTTCAACTGTTTTCCTGTCTTAATACTTTTTCCTTTGTTCAGTTCCACCATGCAGGACAGTTGTTTGCGGAGGGGCATTTCCTGTTTCTTGTTTTCAAGTAGGAGGGTTTCTTTCCTCATAGGAATGTATCTTTTGGCTGTTGTGGTTATTTTTAGTAAATGTGTAAGGATCTCTGACCTGTTTTCAAATCATTGGGAGAGAAGTAAACTGATAATCAAGTTCCCAATGTTAAGTGATTTCTTTATAGTAAGGTTGTGGAGTAGATCAACCTGCATTGGGATGGGCTGAAGCAGTTTGGGTGTGAATTAAACACCCTGTATAAACAGTGGGATTTGTTTTTTTTTGTGGGGGGTTTTTGCTGCCAAGGGGGAAAGGGGTGAGCCTGTGTTAGCGACAAACACCTGCCTTTGTGTTGCTATGAGTTGAGTGAGTTATTTTCCTTAAGTCCTTTTGTTTGTTTGAGTTATCTGTGTACTGCAGACCACTTTAGAAAAACAATTTAAAAAAGGGATTTAAAAAAAAAAGGTTGATACTTGGATTCCTGCCATTTGACATTTGGATAAGCAGTAATGCTGAATCTTTCCACTGTGAAGAAAAGCCAAAAAAAACCAACAACAACGGTGCTGCTTTCACCCTCCTTGCATACCAATTTATTGAGATATTTTAATTAAATTCAACAGTTTGTTGGTACTTCTCTTTAAATAGTTACAAGAAAATGTTTGAAAAGAGAGGTTGCAAAAGCAAATAATATTTTAACCTTCCAAAGGAAACAGGACCCTCCAAAGATAGACAATTATCAATGATACATTTCATGAGACAAGTCCTTCCATTTCAAGCATTGGAAAGACATCCTGTGTCTCCTATGGTTAAAATCAAACTGTTGAAACACACAGCAACAACTGCATCACAGCATTACAAACCAAACAGTCAGATACATACAGTATAATGTTATTTTGTTCCACACTGTCTTTACTATATACACTGCTTTAATAGTGCTCCACTGCTCAATAAAATTCTCATTCACAAAAATCATGCAACGACACATCAAACCGTTTTTCTGCCACAATATAGATTACAACATTTAAAATGTGACAAACGGCAGTATGAATATGATGCTTAACAGATGGATTCCATCATACCGTTGATGCACAACTATTTATAAATGATATTTCAAATCATAAAATGTTGAGGTGCAGAACCAAGGTTTACTGAACCGATGGCTGAACCATGTGATTAATGTTATTTTGCATGGCAGAAATAATATGGTGGACTAAAACTTATTGTTAGTTTGTAGCCCTTACGTTTATTGTATTTGATACAAAAAAATATATTTTTAGCTCAGTTTTTAAATGAGACATTGTTAGAGAAAATTCTTCAGAGGTACAGCAATGATTAATGAAGTTGCTAACCAGGCTTTCAGTCACTCATTATGTTTTCGTGATAATTAGCATTTTGTTTGTTTCCATTGTTGAAGGTTGTCAAATTTACCAAGTCTAAAAATCACATTGACCAGATAACATTTTCATCTATTACTTTTTTTTTCTCATTTTGGTAAAAGGGTGACTCACATTGAACATGCATTGAATTCTCACCACTTATTAATTTTGTCTTCATGTAGTGTTTGCTGAGGGAATAACAGCCGTAAGTGGTGGCAAGTGGCAGCTGGCTGTGTTCATAGATGACCAGTTGAATGCCCATCTCAGTGCACAGCCACAGTGACAGGCAGCATGTTTTGAAGTAAATCCCTTGATGACTGCAAGTGATGAGAGCTGTCCGGTGCCATCCTCAGACTCATGCTGCCGTCAACCAGAGCAGGGGTAACTCTGAAACCCCTGTGGGGTGGCCGAATGGCTTCAATGAACTGCCTCTTAAATGTTTCACTTAATACAATGTAGATAAATGGGTTAATGCAGCTGTTGGCGTAGCCCATGCTGATAGCAATGTTGTAGGCATACAGGAAAGCAAAGCTGGGCCGCTGTACCCCAAGGTGGGCCAGCTGCAAGATGTAGTAGGGGGCCCAGCAAGTGAAGAATGCTAGGCATATGGCCACTGCCATACGGGTCACCTTTCTTGTTCGCACCCTCAGGCTGCGCTGGGGCAGCGGGGCAACTGTAGCTGACATGTTTTGGAGAATCTTGAAGAAGACCCCGCAGATGACCACCCAAGGCAGAGCAAAGGCCAAGAAGAACTGGTAGAGGGTGAACCAGTAGGTGTCTGTGGCCGGGTTGGGCAGCAGGAGGGCACAGCCGACTGAGCCGTCCTTGAGGCGCATGAGTCCTGTGTACATCCAGACTGGAGTGATGGAGATCAGAGAAAACACCCACACCAGAGCTACTGCTGCCCCGGCCACCAAGGGAGTTCGTATGTTTTTGAAGCGGATGGGATGGACAGTGGCCAGGTAGCGATCCAGAGTCATTACAGTCAGGATGTATGTACTGACGATCTGGCTGTTGGAATCTAGTGCTGTGATGACAGTGCACATGGTGGCACCAAAGCACCAGGAGCCATTGCCCACGAGCTGGTGAATGAGAAAAGGCATGCCGAGGAGGAAGAGGAGGTCTGCGATGGACAAACTGAAGATAAATATGTCTGGTACTGTTTGCTGGGAGCAGAACTTAGTCTTCTTCACAATGGTGTAGATTACAATACAGTTACCAAAGATCCCAAAGAAACAGATGACACCAAAGATGCTGGGCATGAGCACATTGTTGTACTGCTCAGGCTCTGGCAAAAAGGAAAACAAGCAGAATACTCTGTCAGTTACTTTTACAGTAAATCCTGCTGCATGTGATTATTTTCCATGATTATCTTTTGTTTCAACTCATGTTCAAAAAAGGGCACAATGACCACTGATCCATTCTTAAAATCTGTACCAATTATTTTGCATTGTGACACAGTTAAATTCAAGGAGTCTCAATTTAAAAAGTGGAAGAAACAACCTACCTTCTACTAGATTCTCGGGAGAAGTGCAGGTCGAAGTGCAGGTCGAAAAGGATGAATTCGATATGTTTTCCATCCCAAATAGTTTTGGCGGTCTTTCTCTAAAATAGTCTGCAGTTTTATAAATAATAATAGCCTATTAATAATGCAAGTTACATAGCGGTAATCGAGCTAAATAAGGTCCAGTTTGTCAGAGGGTCCATAATAACGGCAACATAAAATGAATTAAAAAATACGACTAAAAAAAGCAAACAGCTCGGAATAGTTTCAGGACTTGACAGCAGAGATGCAACGCCGCGCGCCTGTTTTCTGTTATCTGAAAGATTTCTAAAACGCACCTAAAAAGAAAACCAGCCGACGTAACACACTCGTCACTCTATCTCTATCTAAGTCGGCAGCAGCGGACACTATAATGACTTTCATGAAAGGAGGCAGTATAATAATCTCATTTTGCTCCTTCCCCAGGGGACAGAGGTGAGCTATATCTTTATGCTGTCAGGAAGTGAGGCAGAGAATTAGTTATCAGGGAGCAGCTACTGAGTGGGACTGACCTGAACGAGAGAGAGAGAGACATGGGTGGTTTTCTCTTTTTTTTTTCTTTAAAAAAAAAAAAAAAGATTTAGCCTACCTGTTCAGCCACAGACTTGACAAATACAGCTTACAGTATAAGTATACATGAAGTTACTGTGATACTGCCACACTGTATGATTTTAGTGACACTGTTAGCTCCATCCGATTTAAAAAAGATCCACACTTGTATTTACCTCACATGAACACTGCTCCTTTCCTATATATTCCTGTATTGGTCCTATGCGTCTGCCATTGAACAGCACAGCAGTCTGTTCTGATTTCCCGTGGTTCAACCGTTCCACTAGGTGTCAGCATTGTCAGGTTTTTTGATTGTCTCCGCTCCCACAGATGGACAGACCAGAATTAAAAGCAGATGTCCCAAAAAATGAAAACAAAGAAAGACGACAGAATATTCGCCTAACAGTGGGTTCTGAAGTGGGATAAAGGTGGCAGCTAACACTCCCCCACTGACAACAAGAGGAAGCGTATGGGCTACTTTTTATTGTGGGCAAATCATCTAGAACATCATCAAAACATTGTCTGAGCAGCGCGTGTGCACATCTTTGGCACGCGCTTCATGTTGGATTCGTCAATAATATGATTAGTTTTTAATGAGCAGAACCAACAGAATTCCTGCTGAAAGCTAGTGGTTTATAAGGTGATTAAAACGCAGAAAGAGTCACTCTCTGACAGAAGCCATCAGGACTCCTGAACCTCACAACACACCTCACCATGTTTGCGTCCCCTTGGCTCAGTCACTGTGTAGGCCAATGCACGGTCCTGTCTACTTCCATCACCTGACCAGTAAAGTCAGATGTCAAGCACTAATGTGGCAACAGTCCCTGTTATTTCACAGCCATAAATCTTAAAGCAATAGGATGCTCCCACCATATCTAACCTGTTTTATCTGATGTTCCACCTCGCCTTATCTCATTCTAACTTACTACTAATACTACTTATTAGCCTAATGACTGATATGGTCTATTAGTCTATGTGATTCACCCTCTGATTGTGATGACACTGATAGATAGATAGATAGACCAATGTAATACAGTATATTTGTATAGCTTACTAATAGTATGTTTTAGGCAACTTATAATAATTATAGGGGATAATTAAAGCCAGTTGTGAGCGACAGTAACAGTTCTTTGGTGTTTGGTAGACAAGTGGAACAGACTGACAGGGAGGAGCTCCAGTCACAGCAGCAGGCAGACCCTCCCAGCGCTGTGGAAGGAAGCGGAAATACACGTCGTGAACCTTATGCTAGCAGCTACGTTCAGGCTCCTAGGACGGGGTGTAAGCGACATCAGACGAACATCGTTTGTTGTCTCTTCAGAGGAAACAGGGAGTGGATAAATACACGACAGGGGTTTCGTTTGTTACGGTGGCAGCATCGAAACGGAGTATCTCGAGTGGTGAGTTTTTCCCTGTGCGTTTTCGTGACATAAAAGTTGTGTACTCTTTGCTTTCACGACGCAGGCTAGGCAAGTTCAGGAACGTTAGCTTGGCTAACTGTGCCGCCGAGCTAGCAACAACAGCTTGCGCTATGAAAAAAAAAAAAAGGTGTTTTCTTCCCTTTCACATTTGCCAATGTGAAGCTTGCCTAGAGGCCTCGGGCGTTAATAAACGTGTCGTGTTTGTTTTAAACTGGGCGCTTGTTTTGATTATTGTCATCTTGAATGTGTCCGTTGTGGTGCATTAACGGGGGTTAGTTTGATAGTCTCACTGTATCGTAGTTATTGTTATCCGACTGTTAGCCGGTATGCTAGCTCCAGCGTTCTAGAACAGTGGGCGCAGGCTGTCGGCTGGAACGGATTCGAACCACTCGAAGTTGCGTGAAAACGGTTACAACGTGGTCTGGTGCTCAAAATGGCAAAGTGCTCACTCTGATGGTGAAACCTGATACTGTTCAGACAGTAACAAACCACACCGAGGTTGTAAATTGTAGAGGATTATTGCAGCCTACCCTGCTTTGGAATTCATCTTCCCTTTTCATTTACTTTTTCTCTATACCAGCGTTGCTTCTGTCACTGATGCTGCTTAACGTTAGTTGAATTGTTGACAGTTGTATTACTGTAAACAATTGCTTCAGTCACATGTTAATGACTTATTATGTCGTTACAGTCAAGTGACTTTTCTGAAGAAGCGTCCTACATCTTCTCTATTTCCCTTTCGTAGCCAACTGGTCATCCGTGGCCTGATGATATAGATTATTTTGATTAAAAATGTGCTTTTGCAGATAATTTGTTATTGTTTCTTTGTCGCCTGGCCGGCTGTCAAACTGAAAAGAGTTACTTGAGCTGTATTAGTATGAACCCCTCAGAGCTGTACGGTAGCAAATTAGCAAACAACTTAATGAGATAACGGAGCTTTATCCGTTTAACTCAGCAGCTGTATCACTGTCAGCTCTGCCTAAGTAGGCTACTGACTTATCTGTTTTCAGACCAGGTGCTTGCCTGTCAAGAAAGTCTGAAGGAGTTGCCATTGATTGCTGTGAACTTTGCATCAATATAATCTCTTCCTCCTATGAATGCTCCCTAGAGCAGCAGCAACATAAAGGATATGTAGGCTGTAAACACTTTTCACATAGGTTTGCCATTGGACATGACCATTAGTACTTGTGTTCTGCATTTTAGATATTTTAAGATCTCCAGAGAGCAAAGCATACGATGTCCTCAAAATAACTTTTGTCATGATTACAGGAAATAAGAATATAAACATTTTATAAGCGCAACTAAGGGGAATTGACATTATTGCAACATACGGTGAAATCCTATTCACATTTTGCAGATATTCTTAAGGTTCAGACCAAGCAAATTAATCTTTGTTCTTGATTCAGGTCATCTTAATCTAAATGAGAATCTTCATGTCTAGCTATTTACATTTATTTCTCTGTAAAATCATCCTCCACTGTGCAGTTGTTGTTCTACTCTACATTTTAGTCTGATAGAGTGCCACATTGTTTCTTGTTTGCAGGTACCTTACTGTAACCTTTATGTGAGGCCTAAGCCCTATAGGAGCGGGTCATAGACGGGAGGAGAGACTCGGGAGAAAAGCATCTGGCCACAGAAGCCTGGATAAGACTTTATTTTTTATTCAGTCCCTGACACACAGCTACAGCCAAGCAGTTCTCCAGCACGCAACAACAACCATGGAGGCCATTGCCAAATACGATTTCAAAGCCACTGCTGATGATGAGCTTAGTTTCAAGCGTGGAGAAGTCCTTAAGGTAGGTTGCAACTATTGGATCATTTAATGTTAAAGCTTGTCTGCATTACTCAAAATTATAAAATGTGGTGATGATGCTGTCATTTTACTTCCTGTGTCGTGAATCATATCCGTTCTGTGTGACATGAAAGTACCATCAATGGTGGATAAAGAGTTTCAGGCAGTAATTTTATTTTTATTAAGCACAGGGAAGTATATCTTTAGGATAAAAATCATCACCCAAATTAAGCTGCACTTAGTGTTAATTAAGTCCTGTGTCAAATGTCCTTGTTAGTTTTTGTCATATTTAGTCCACTGTATACTTTTTTTTTTTTTTTAGTTAGGTTATAGTTGACTAACAGTCTGGGTATTTTAGGCTGATTTTAGTCAAAAGAAAATCTAAAGTATTTAAGTCTAGTTTTAGTTATTAACCATCATTTTAGTCTTTTCTAACTCTTTAGTATAATTTTGATTAGCATTTTGGTCGATCTGCTCTAACCAAAATAGAGAGATGATTCTAATGTTTTTATTGCAAAGGAGACATTAACTTACACATTTAAAAAAACAAAAAGATCGGTAAGAAAAATATGTGTAGCTTAAAATCCAAAACACTACTGAGTCATGTGACGGCGCACATGGTAATTACAACAGAGCAACATTGCGTGATAGTCAAATATTCTAAAGGAGCAATGCTTGTGTTACACTGCAGAAGGCCCACGCACTAAAGAAGCAAAAGATGCAAGGTTTTTGTTCCATTATGAACCACCTAAAGTGCTCTCCAGGCCTGCCCAGCTCCCCAGGCATGAGAAGCTTATTCAAAGCCTTATGCTTTCTGGTTGCCTGAAAAGCGTTTGTCATTCTCCGACCTTGATGAGTTAGCTGAGATATTAGAAAGTACATACTGCAATTTTCCTACATAGTAATTCTCTTTGGATTTAAATGCAATCATCCTAATCCTCTCTGTTTAGAGAGATGGACAGGATGCAGAGGCAAGAGTGCAGAAAATTAGATAAACTTTCATATTTCCTAATTTTCTATAGATAAATACCCAGTTTAAAACATCCATTTTGATGATGCATGACTTTAAGAATTCCCTTTTCCTCCCTGTGGCTCTAAGGTCAGTCCTTTTATTTTACCAAAAAAGACTGCCTACAGTTAAGATGGTTCTCAGAAACACTGCTTTTAAGCTGACGGAGAACAGACTGAATAGCCCCTTTTGTAAAAGATAAATTTCTCAAGGACCACACCGCTATGTGTATTATTTTCTACGTAACCTTCCAACTTGTTTTGATCATAACAAGAAATGGTTATTACGGGCAACATCTGCTTTGCAAGACCTGGGTAGGTGGAAAGTGATTATGATGCAACATAACACACGCCATTGTGTATTAAATGATAATGGCTTTGTTTTTTTTTTGCTACAAAGTTAATTATATAGTTTCGCAAATGAACGTTGCTGCCATTATTACTAAGCTCAGGACTAATGTAGATAGTAGAGCAAGAGATTGCTCCACAACACAACGGTAGCTGGTGAAAAGGGATCAGCAGTGACCAGTTACCAAACACACTGAGAGTTTTACTGTTCCCCTCACAAAATCTTTACTCTGAAGAACCTTCTGCTTTTCGCTCCATGTGAGATGAGACTGTGCTAATGGTTCGGTAGCATACAAGGCTGCTTAACGACAGTTTGCACCAATGGGATGAAGTACTTTTAACAAATAATCATATGATATGCTGTGTATGTAATATGAATGTCAGCTGTCGTGGATAAGTTGACTGTTCTGTCAGGGGATGAGTGCTGTTTTTTCCCCCCCTGAATAAGAGATTTCAGTTTAAAGTTTTAAAAAGATTGCTTATCTCATCGGGGGGGCCTACTTTGAGAGAGAGGTGGGTGAAGAAAGTCAGCCTAGGAAAGACTCAGCTAAATATGAGGTCTTATTAAATTTGCATTTGAGAAGAGAAAGTAATGTACTTTTCCACTAATTTCAGCAGCTAGCTATCTAGTTGGAAATCTCAAGCTTTTTACCAGATGGCAGAGTTCCAGTCGAGATGTTAATGGGAAATACCACAGATGCTTTCCTTTAATTCACATAATTAAAAATGAGATGTGCATATTGGTGCCTGGGAAATTCAGAATAAACTGAATATTCTGTGCGATGTTTTATAATAGCTTAAGTTCTGCTAATTTTTGCAACATCTTAAAAGCTTAAATTGTACTTCTCAGTTCCCCATATGTTTAACGTGCTGTTGTTCTCAATTCTTGATTTTTTTTTTTTTTTTTTTATCACAGAAGCTCTGTCCCCCAGAGCATCTGCATGTGTGGCTACATAGAAACCATGAGGCAGATGTTGAGTCATTTTACATTCATGACTAAAAACTAACCACTAAAGTTCTTCAGATTCAGTCTTATCATACGCATGAAGCTCTGCTTTGGCGCTGTGCCAGAGGTACAACTGATAAATCTAATGCCACTGTGTTTAAACCTGGAAAATATCTGACTTTGGTTGCTACCAGTGCTACACACAATGGCGTTAAAATTAAAGTAAGATATTCAAATATGCTGGCCTTACATATTTAACCCAGCTGGTGTGTAACACACTGTAAGGGCACAACTTTAAGAGCTACAAAAAATGTGTTCCAGGTTATTTCTGGACAGAGAAGTAATCTGTAATGAAATGGGGAAGGAGAGCCTGCACAAATGTTGCCTTGAGCACTGTCCATATTTCATGTAAATAAATTTTTGTCTGCTTTGGCCAGTTCACCGAATGCCTATGGCATATATTTGTCAGATACCATCCCCCTTTCCATTTCTTTCATCCTCTTTTTGTTCCTCCTCAAAGTACTCATACATTAGTCACTAGTCTGAATATTTCCCCTCAGGTAACTTCTGAGAAACAGGATTAAACAAGCTCCTGTCATTCACAGAAACACACAGGAACACAGGGGGACACACGCTTCACCTTATTTTGCATGTAACGAAAGTAAATACACTGTCCTTTTAAAAGACACATTTTCTTTCATCCACAGACACCATGAAAACGACAACATAAAATAAGACATACAGTTTCAAAAACACATCTCTCAGTCTCTCAAGCTAGTGTCTGTTGATAAACAGTCTGGAACATGAAGGCACAGCTGAAATGTGATGAAATTAGTGCTGAGCAATAAAACAATGACAATTATCATGATATTATTTTCCATAACAATGTATATTTGCTAAATATTCAATAAATGTTTGATTTAATTCATTTGAATCAATTTTTCTATTAAGATAATTATTTTGTTGAAGAAAAGGGACTAAAAGGATTTCTTAATTTTACTCATGCGTTTGGAAAGTGTTTGTCGTGTTCTGACCAAAAAGAATAGTTTAAAACCTCAATTAACCATCTGGTACCTTCAGCTTATACTCAGGAGCAAAAATCAGCCTTTAAACTTGATAGAAACAACGATTTGACATTTATCGTGATGACATTTTTGCCTATATTGCCCAGCCCTAGATGAAATCAGATCAGAAAATTTTAAGTGTCACTTTGTCCATGTAAAAGCACATCAACAAACGTTATACACAAAGGTAAAACAAATTAATTGCCATTACCTTGTGTGCCTATTGGACCAAGTGTAGAATAAGGTTATTTTGTGGCTGTATGTCTTTCCTCTGCATCCTAACCATCCTATCCATCCAACCAAACTCTGGTCATGTGACCCATTAAACTCTACGTTAAAATAAAACCTACATAAAGAGAATAACATTTTTAACCAAACATTAATTTAAGGTTGTATATTTTAGACAAATGTTTTATCAATGTTACCCTTTAACATTAACATTATTAACGTTGAAATAATTTTAAAATTTTTTTTTAATGGCTGTATGAACTCAAATAGTCATAAATTTGTGACAAACATATAAAATGTAACATTTTCCTGAAACGGTTACAAAAAGAGAAACAATTCTGCATATTTTTTTCTGCTAATGTCTCTGTATTACTTAATTAAAATACTTAATAAACATCGGTTTGGTCTTGCTCACTATCTCACTTTGCTCTTTGCACTGCAACAGATGGATATTTGGTTACATAAGTTGTTTAAACATCAATAATACTAAACTAAATCCCTACCTCAATTGACAACATTACAACAAACACAAGAAGAAACAGATTTGCAATGATACAGTTGCTCCAGCTGATGCATGCTATACTCGAGCATTTGGAGTAGCACATCTAAAAGAAAACCTTCCTGAGGTGCAGTGTGCTCATAGAGGCTCCTTTGCTCCCACCAGTGCTGTCTGTCTGCTGATACTAATACTAAACAGCTCTGCTCTTAGGACAAAGGGTCCCTCTCATCAGAGAGGAAGACCCTGTTTAGGCTTTGCTTATATGTAGCATCCTTAACTTCTCATCAGTTTCAGTATCACTGGGAGGTGGTGGCCGTGTTGCTCTCTCTAACCCTCATGCTGACATACAGGAAGATCGGTTGTTCATCTACTCCTGCTTTCATTCACAATACCGTTATGGCAGAGGAATTTTGTGAATGTTTACCACGTTATGAATGATAATTTGTTGTAGAGACAAACATAGGCAGTTTGGTATTGTGAACATCTCAGTGATTTTTAATTCTAATTTTAATAAAAATCTGCATTTAGTATACATAGATGAATGGAAGTCGGTGTGGTTTGGTACTGTAGACATCAAGTATGATCTGCACCAGCAGTACAGTAAGTTACAGTTTGAGTGACTCACTAAAAGTCTATGCTCAAGCCCAAATATTAGGCAGCTCCAGCTCTGGCTGAAAGCCACACATCAGCGTTCCTCCTTGTTTCAGTTGCTTTTAGAAACAGCCTTTTATATAAGCGTTTATCTAATGGTCTGCCACTGAGGGGATGAAAAGGTTGCTTTGGGGACATGAAATCCTGTTGTGTCAAACCATTTAATCATCCTGAAATGCTTATATGCTGACTTTTATCACTTGTCAAAAAACCCATGTTTGTGAGTGATTAGAAACAGGACGTGCCAGTTTGTCCATATG